CTTTCAAGTTTAAGAGAAAATAACTTTGAACCGAGAACTCTTTGTTCACTGAAAACAGCATCCAATAATAAAGATGAAGACACAGAATGTGCTAGATTCACCAGCAGTGAATACCAAAGGGTATTCTTTAAGCAGAAGAAAACTGATTTAAGATGATTGGTTATAGGGCCTCCCCGGTGGCGCAGCGGTTGAGCGCTGGGTTGCGAAACTGCGCGCGGCCTCTGCGGCGCCGGTTCGATCCCCGGCTGCTCCCCGGCCACCGGAGGAGGGTCCCACATGGCGCGCAGACCTCTCCTGCCGCCCGCTGCTCCCCTCAGCAGTGTACTTCGGTCCTTCTGCCTGCTCTGCTCCCCGCTCTGGCTCTGGTGAATTCTCTCACCCTCCCGCGCTTCTGACTGTACCCAGTGCATGTATAAACAAACAAACCAGCAAACAAATAAATAAAGCATGCCTCTATTAAAAAAAAAAAAAAAGATGATTGGTTATAGATGCAGGAAGAAATGAAGAACAATACATTCCAAAGACTGCACAAGAAAGCAATGTCCAGGAGTTAAAAGGATTTAAATATGGAACAAGTATATATATAAAGGGGTAAATGGAATGAAAATAAACTACAGCCCCAGTATTACTCTAGAAGAAGATAAATATAACAAGTAATATTAGACTGTGATAAATCAAAGATATATATTGTAATCTCTATGATAACCTCTAAAAGGATAGTAAAAAAAAGTATTCAAGTTCCAAGGTAATAGAGGGAGAAATAAAATATTCAAGCACTTAAAAAAAGGAAAATAAAAACAAAAAACAAAAAAAGGGGCAGATGAAAATATTTCATTAGATGGGCTTTAAATCTGAATAAATTAGTAATTATGTTAAATATAAATAAACAAAATAGTTCAATTATAAGTCCAAGAGTACTGAACTGGATAAAACAATCTATATACTGCTAAAACAATAGTTTTTAAAATGTTGAAAGTGAGGGTGAAAATAATATTAACCAATATTATATTAATAGTATAAACTAATATGAAAGTGGGTTTTAAGGCAAAAAGTAGTACTATAATTAAAGAAGGATACACAATAGTGATAAAATGCTTAATTATGAAGCTAAGATCGACAAAAACCACAAGCAGAAGTGAGCAGATAAATGAGTTAAGGATATAGATTATATGAACATGATTAGCAAACTTGACTTAGGAGACCTATGTAAAATATTGCATCCAACAATAATAGAATTCATATTACTCAAATATTTATGACTCTCCACCTTTCAAGGAAATAATATTGACAATCTTCACCTCATTTTATGTTAGGCACGGCCTATAAGATTTGTTTTGGTCAACGAAATGTGAGTGGAAGTATGGGGGTTATTTACAAACACAGCTTAAACTAGTCTAGCTTGACTAATAAAAGCATCAAAAGAGAAGGACTATTTTCTCAGCACAGAGATAAGGCTATCTTGAAAATATGTGTGCCCCAGTCCTGGTGAGTTCTCTGTGGCTTAAACTTCAGGGAGGTGGTGGGGGGACAGGGCCTGGGCAGGGAGAGCCACTCCCAAGAAGAGCCCATGAAGATAGGCTAGAGGCAAGTGTGGAAGGACCCTGGATTTAACAAGAAGAAATGGGTGGTGGGCAGAAGTCAGTGGGCAGTTGAGTATTCATGGTAATGGAGAGAATGAAATGGGGAGAACAGGGCCTGTGTCAAAGTAGGGACTCAGGCAGAGAATTTTTCTCAATGAACATATTACAGGGTTTTGATTCCATGCCCTAAAGGTAGCATTATTTAGAATTTTGTATTTCTCCAGCAATTGCCATGCATGCACACATACACACACAAGCCAATTTTAAAAACACAAATTAGATTAACCATACTTTATCTGCTATTCTGAACATTTTTTTCCAATTAATGGAATCTTCATGGTTATTTTCTGTGTCATTCCAAAGAGATTTCCCTCTTAGCTATAATTGTATAATTAGTCTCCACTGACAGATACTTGAGTTGTTTTCACTATTACAATGTTTCAGTGACCATCTTGCTAAAAAGATCCATATAGTTTTATGTCCTCTTTTACAGACAATAATACCAGTTTGTAAACATTTAAATGGTGAAAATTTTAGGCTGGGTAACAGGAACACAATCAGGGAGGCCATGAGAGGTGATGTTTTTGGTTACGGGGTGCCTGGTATGTCTCAATTCTTCCCAAAACAGTGCTCAAACATAGTAGGCATTAATATCTGTTAAATGAAAAAGTAGGTGATCAAAAGAATCTATATCCATGTAGACACTTGTCAGGCCTTCCCTGTCCTCATCTCCCACAGGGTTTCTCACCCTCAGCACTACTGACTTTAGGACCCAATACGTTCTTTGTTGTGTGTGTGTGTGGGGGGGGGGTGCCCTGTGTATTATAGACCATGTAGCAGCACGCCTGGTCTTGATCCACTAAATGCCATTAGCACAATCCCAGTTGCGCAACCAAAAATGTCTCCAGAAATTGCTCAATGATCCCTGGGGTAAAAAAATCACTCCTGGTTAAGAACCACTGATTTATAATATGGGTTATATTTGGGTAAGGTCAAAGGCCCTTTTTCAAAACAACTGACTCTACAAAGTTGCTCCTATTTCTCTTCAGTCCTCCCATATTAAAATAGCCTTTCTTCCTGGGTTTTTACAGTCCTGTCATAGAGGCTCTTGGATTCCTTATTCTTGGTCCAGACATCATTTCTCTAGAGGTACCTTCCCTGACACCTCCCTCATGAATTAGGTCAATCCTTACCCATATGTTGTCATTCCCCATCACACATTTTCTAATCACCCAGTGTCCCTCCTTGGAAGTACTTTATCAAAGTTGGATTCTTAAATTTACTTAAATAAGTATTCATCTTTGTCCCTCACTCAACTCCTTAGAAGGAGCCACAAGTAAGAATTTGCCTTGTAACATGGTTGCTTTTGCTCACCATTTTTACAGTTAGTGCCTGAAACCATGCCTGATACATAGTAAATGCTCCATGGGCAAATGGATGGTTAGATGGAGGTATGCAGGCAGATAGGTGGGTGGATGGATGGATGGATGAGTGAGTGAGTGGGTGAGTAGATGGGTAGGTGCATAAGTGAGTGGGCGGATGGGTGGAGGAGTGGATGGTTGGATGGATGGAGGAATGGATGGGTGGATCAATGGATGACTGCTTGTTGTCTGTCAGCAATAGCCAGCCTTAGGACATAGCAGTCTTCACTCATTTTTGCTCCTGTTCTTTCTAAAATGATTTTTAAAAGCCATTTTAATACACTCACATTTAAAAATAGATGTTAAATATTCTTCATTAAATTTATATGGCATCAAGATAACTGTAACTCCCAGCATATTGTAAGTATTGCAATTTAAAAATGAGACCATGACATCACTTTTTACATGTACCTATAAATCTGTTGATACTTATAAATTATTTCTAATCTGCTCTTGAATTTCCTCACAGTATTATTCCTTAAATTCAAGGAATGGGAAAAAATAAAATCCTTAAATTAAAAAAATCCTTAATTAAGGAAAGCTGAATTTAAAGTATTAAAGGAAACTTCCACTTTGGGATTTTTACATTTGGGGCAATGGGCCTCAGTAAGTCTGGGCTTTCTTGTAAGGGAAAGATTATTATGAACACATACACGGTTTCAGGCAAATCGGTTTCTGGAAAGAGTATCCACAGAAATTAAGAACCTGAAGATTTATTCTCAAGAAATAATCATTAGTGTGCCCTTGGAAAGTTCTGAAGATCACCATTTTGGGGGTAATGCAGCCTAGTAGCCTGCAGAGGGCAGTGTTGGACAATTTGTTAAACTCATGGTCTGTTTCCCTGCAGGGAAGCAGAAAGGCAGATTAGTTTAGACACAGTTGGGAGCCAGCCTGGGCTGCCCAGCCCAGTCGTCTCTGGTGTGTGCTGTTTGCACCAGCTTGTATTATTAAGTAGAAAACTAGCTCCAGGGTGAATGGAGACCAGAGACTCTGCCCTATACCTAGAATTAGACCTGGAACCATAAATAGATAAAAACCTCATTCTTTCTCGCCTTAAAGAACTGAAGTTGGGAAAGAAATCAAGGAATGAGATCACGGGTCTGAATCAACAGTAACGCTTAACTTTACCGCGTATGAAATGAAAACAATTCTGAAATCTCAATAATTTATAGCTTTAGGAGACAGTGAGGAAAGCAGTGGAAAGTTCCTTCTTTGGAGTCAGAGGGACTATACTCTCCTATCCCATCCTCAGCCTCCTGGCGGTCCATCAGAACAAGATCACCTTCCTCCTGGGCTGCTGCGAGGATAAATGAGACAGCACAGGAAAAATACTCAGCACATGAATGACATTTAGCAAGAACTCACTAAGTATCTGTGGTGCTAGTGAATTGGCCATGATGCTGAATTGGCATTTTGTCAGGCATGAGTGTTTGAAAATGCATTCGAAGAGGAAGAATTAGAGGTGAAATACCAAGCTATTGCAGTGTTTTACGTTTTACAAGCCTAAGAGTTAGAAGCAGAAACAGCCAGGAGAGGCAGGCAGAATCAGTGCGATTCAGGGTTAGGGCCTCACTCCGGGACATGGTTCAGGGTGCCTGCCAGGTCTGTTCCTCCCAATGCTGAGAAGAGGGTCTCTGTGCCTAAAATAGTGCATATGTGACAGTCATGTGGATGTCAACTCTATGACACGACCACCAGCCTCAGACATAAAAGCAAAGACTTTCCTCATCACATTTATCTTTTGTGAGACCTCAAAAGGGATGAGGACTGGTTGGAAAAATGTTAGTAATCTGGGTAAATGGCTCCATGTCCTCAAAGTAAGGTTCAGAGCAAGACTCCCAGCCTTCTGCCTTACACGGGGAAAGGTAGCAGGAACTAGTTGAGAAAGAGGAATGGAGTCAACTTGGATGAGATAACTGTCCTTTCACCTGGCAGCTGTCCAGCCCCCAAATAGCTTTTGTGTCCAGTCCAAAAACAAGATCACATGAGAAGGGGAGAAGTAAATACACAAGTGCTTGTCCTTGCACCATCCGTGGGTACACCAGCATCAGACACACTGCTGGGGGCCCCAGGGGGGCTGCACTTCACTGCCTCCCTCCCTGGGTTCCATGAGGCTGAGACCACCTGCATCAGGGCCAGTGCGCTGTGTGGTTTACGTGCAGCCTTTCTCGTAAGGTTCCCTCAACTCCACTCACACCAAAGGGGGAGCAGAAGAGAAAGGTCAAGCAGATCCAGGAGCCTGGACTCCAGGGGAAAAGCGCATCGCCTCCTTTTGCTGAAGGACACTCCCTTCTGATGGAGAATGGGAACTCCCTTCCTCCTGCAGCAGCCTGTCTGCAGCGGTCCTGGTAGGTCAGCGTGGAAGCTGTAGGCTATTGCAGCTGCCGAAACCCCAGAGAGAAAGTGCCTCAGAGCCAAAGCCAAGAGGTGAGTGCTTCCATTTCTTAAAGGGGCTCAGATTGCTGTGGACTTTCTATGTGGCTTCATGCTTGTACCCCTTCCCCCTCCCGCCCCTTCTTCCTTTTCTCCTCCCTGATCTGGTCTGTGGCAGGCTTGAGTGTATGTGATGGATGCTAGAGTAAATACTCCTGTATTCCCTTCTCTCATTCAGAGGCCAATCTGCTTCCAGAAAGAACTAGTTAGCTCTAGTTCTTAGCAGGGAAGCAGAAAGCCATTCCTACCAAGTGAATTAGTCTTTCTTGAGATTCAAGATGACCTTTTCCATGTCTTCATCAGACAAATCCTATTACAGTAGAGTTAATGCTTAGTTTTAAAAAGCACTGCTGCATGAAATAGGAAATAAACAAAAGGATGCCAGCCAATTCTTTGTCATTGGACAAAAGGAAAAAAAACAGAAATGGGCTAAGCAGAGTCTCCTTCCCTCACCCCCTTTTCAATCTTTTCTGGATTTCTTGGAGTCCTGCAAAATATACTCAACAGATTAAAGGACTCCGCTCTTAGGTTGAGAACAAGAGGAGTAAAGGAAAGAGGGATAAAATCAAAGGTTTGGGGAAGGACTGCTCTATCAGCAGAGGGCTAGAGAAGAGAAACACATTTTGCAGAGACTTGTTTGCCCAGAAGTGCACACGCCCAGGCCCTTGGTGTGCACCTGGGCTGATTTAGGGACAGGTGGCCATGTCACCATCATTTGCACACACACACCATTACTCCCTGACATACACTGAGCATAAATTATAGACTGCAAATATCTATGCTAAAAAGAAAATGCTGGTGGGAACAAGATAATAACTTGGTAAGTCAAGATTCTTTTATTGACAATAAACTGAAGCCCAGTTTGAAGAGACTTAGGGAAAAAAATTTATAAAAGGAAATTTGTTTGCTCTTGAAACTGAAAAGGCCAGGGTGGGATCTAGATGCCAGATGATGGCATCCTGACTCTCCCTCTTTCTGTTCCTTGGTTTTGCCCCTCTATGTTGTTCTAGTCCCAGGAAAGGCATCTTCAGGCTGACACCCACTGGCATAATCACCCTGTAAGAACAGGTGCTCCCCTTACCCAATAGTGCTAGCTAAAGCATCAAGGTCACATCTCACTGAACCAATGTGGTCATTGTGTCCATCCCTGCCATGGAGGTGTGACTCACTCCCATTCCCAAATCACAAGGACTGAAAACAATGAAGGGGTAACCCCCCACAGACAAACAAGGTGCAAGTCCTAAGAGAAGGGGACTGCATGAGGGATGGCCAAGGTCAAGGGTTGCCACTCCGTGATGCTATTTCTGCAATGATTTAGATTAGGAGTCAAAACACCTCCAACATCACCTTCCTTTGTCCTCTCTATGTCTCTTCCCTCCACAAAAATTTATTGGTGACAGGCCCCACAGTAAGAGGAACTATTAATAGAATAAGAAACTAAAGACCCCATGGTACGCCCTTCCTAGAGACCCCTGACAATGGGAAAGACACAGGAGGCTTATTTCGGCTGATTCCCCAGAACACCCACCAACCTGGGCCCCCAGCCTGCTGGTGCTCACATGGGTCTCCCCTTCCCCTCACCACCCTTGCCCACTTCTGTCCCCCTCTGCTCTGCTGATGTAAACCCATCTTGCCTTTCATTGGTCAGCCTCAGTGCTGACTACCCACAAGGCCTTCTCTGCCCAGTACAGCCTTTTCCACTACCTCCCTCTCCAAACCTGATGGTCACTCACTCTCAGTATTATAGTTCACTGCTTACCTGTTCCTTGAGAACTTGTTTTTGTTCCTCTCTCGCCCTGATTTTCATTCAAGGCTACTGATAGGAGGGATAAACTTCATCCCAGCCCTCTCGTGGTGAGAGTACATAGTAAGTGACGAGAAAGTAATTTCCATTAATGGACCAACAGAAGGCTAGACTCCTAAGTATCTTAGAAGGGATGGCTAGCTTACTCGAGGTCCTTTATTCTGATTTTGAAATACAGTAACATGGATTGAGCACTAAATATATGCTGAAGCCCATACAGGCATCAGTTCAGGTAATCCTTACAGTGATCCTATATGCCAAATACTGCCATTACCCCATTTATTACATGAGGAAGCTGAGTCTGAGTGCTAAGCCGTTTGTCCTAGATCATAGAGCTAGTAAGAGGGGATATGGGAGTTAGAACTCGGGCAAGGCTGCCATCTCATTTCCCATTATATTCCTCATTTATAAGCTTATGGGGGGTGTTTCCTGCTGCCTTTAAAAAGCAAGGAATACAGGTGATTGGTCAGGGAGCACGAGGAAGCTAAGATATTTTGGACACCTCTTTGGGTTCACCTGAGTTTTCAGTAGGGGCACTTGTTACATTGCACCTAGGAATAAGAGGTGACACCCCTTTCTAAGAGCAAACAGGAAGGTCAGGGCATAGGGGATTCACAAACGAGGTATCCCTGGGGCTCAAAAGAATGAAGTGGTTTTTGATGAAATGAGGGTACAAGGGTCTTTGGAGAAACCCTGGAGTGTGGGCTGTAGAATACAAGCTTGCCCCTCTGACTGCCCATCATGACAGTGACCTTCCTCCTGCCACCTGACCAGGGTGAGCAGGTGACTCAGGTCCTTCCTCAGAGGGTAGCCTGTAGGATTCGGAAAGCAACCAATTTTGAGCTCAAAGGAAACCAAACTCTTGGAAAAAAATGATGAGTATTTTTTATACTGTCCGTGCCCACTGGTTTTCTGCTGATGTGGTCACATGTGGTACAGGTGGCGCTCATGGTCTGGAGCCCCTTTCTCTGCTGCACACTAACCTACACACGCACGTTAGTAGCTTCTCAAGAGCAGATGCTATTTGGTTTTGTCATCTATGCTCACAGTATCCCGTGAGAGGATCAGAGAGCTCGTGTCCTCACAACCACAGCACAGTGAGGTGAGATATGTCTCAGACTGGAGAGCAGAGAAGGGCCCGGAGTGGGGATGGTGGACCTGTGAGGTCTTTGGGATCTAAGCTTACTTGATACTCATGAGGTGACAATTAAAAATACCCAAAAGAATTTTATAGGCTAAGGAAAATTATTTGAGTAAATGTTTAAGAGAAAAACTGCGAGTAGACCTAGAGAAGTGAAAATATACATTTACACAAAAACTTGTAGACAAATGTCCACACCAGCATTATTTGTAACAGCCAAACAGGGGAAACAAGGCAAATGTCTATTAACTGAAGAGTGGATATATAAAAAGAGGCACAGTCATACAATGGACTATTATTCAGAAATAAAAGGGAATGGAATTCTGATGCATGCCACAACACGGATAAAACTCAAAAACATGAAGCTTCTTAAGGGAAAGAAGTCCGTAACTGTGATTCATTTACATGAAATGGCCAGCACAGGCAAAGCTGTAGAGACAGAAAGTAGATTCGTGGTTGCTTGGGCCTGGTGGCAAGGAGGAATGAAAGTAACTGTTGAAGTGTATGGGGTTTCTTTGGAGATGATAAAAATGTTCTAAAATTAGACAGCGGTGATAGTTGCACAACTTTGTGAATATACTAAAACCACTTAATTGTACACTTGAAATGTGAATTACATCTCAATAAAGTTGTTTGAAAACCCAGACCATGGCTAATGAAAGAATTATCCCAGTGACAGGGCTTCACTGAAGGATGTGGTCTCACCCTGTCTGTTGCGATAAGCTTAGGTCTTGACCCACAGAGCTTGGCCACAGGCCACCCAGACAATCCAAGTGGAAAAGAGAGAGATGCAAAAGATAGGAGCCTTAGATTTCTCCCCAGAGTCTAAATCAGATTATTTCCCCACTTTCTTGCATCGATCATTATAAATTTTATGGAATCAATTTCACAATTCTATGTTCATTTCTGAGTTTTAAATCATGCTTTAGAAAGCACTCCCTATTCTAAGATTATAAATCTTGAGATAGATTTTATTTATATTTTTATTGAGATATAATTGACATATAATAGTTTCATGTGTACAACATAAAGACTTGATATTTGGATATTATTATTATAAATCTTATTAACTAATGCTTTCTTCTAAGGTTTGTCTTCTTACATTTAAATGTAATTCATCAGGAATTTAAATAACTGGAGATCCATCCAGCTCATTTTGATTTTATGTTGCCAAATAACAAGTCAACAATTAGATCAGAAATCTTAAATTTGGGGTTGAAATGGACTTGGTTTATTCTGTAACTTCCTGAAATTAAATGTAAAAATGTGTGTGTGTGTGCATGTGTGTGTGCACATTTATTTTTCTAAAGAACAGGACTGTAGATATTATCAGATCCTCAAGGGGGTTTGTGACTCTCTCAGAAAACCTGCCGAACCCTCTACATTTCTTAAAGAGGGATCCAGGCAGACTGATTCCGATGTTTCAACACACTGGGGCTGAACCTGAGTGACAGGGCAGTTATTAAACAACTCCAGGAGAGGTGAGAGATGACTCCCAGGGGAAAGTTCTCTGTCACATGTCAGTGAGAATTGCACCACCTTTTGGTTTGATATTTTGCTGACATGATTCTCACTGGCTCCCCTTGGGTCCATAAAACTTCAGGTTTTGAATCATCTGTTGACAAATCAATGGAGCTGATAAGTCATTTTAGCTGACACAACTTGTGGTCCTCCTGTCGCAAAGAATCTGAGAAGGCTTATAGTTCAACAAATATAAATAAGTAAGTAAAACAATCAAGTGAAAATAGAACTGCCATTATATGGAAGGCAGCAAACCCTTCTGTGCAGATTAATGGAATAAATATACATGCAACTCCCACCATGTGCCGGACACTGTCTAGACGCCTGTTTCTCAAAGTGTGGTTCCTGGACCAATACCATCAGCATCATCTGGGAACTTGTTACACATGAAACTGCCGAGGTTAGACATACTGAGTTAGGGTCCAGAAAATCAGGAATCCGGCAATCTGTGCTTTAACAAACCCTCCACGAGTTAGATGCTAGAAGTATAATAATAATAAAAAGACACATTAAATACCTGCTCTCCTCATGGAATTTACCTTCCAGTGTGTGTCTCAGGGTGACAGAAAACAAGAAAGTAAAAAGTAACAGAAAATGTAAATTTTCAGATACAATAAGATGTATGAGGAGAGACAAGCAGGGGGTGTAAAGGGTAGTGATGCAGAAGAGGTGTCAGGAAGGAGTTGGTCTGATATGAGACCAGCATGATAAGAAAGAGCAACTGTGCAAAGAATTGAAAGACAGAGAGGAGGCAGCCATGCAAAGGCTCTTCAGTCTACCCACACTGTCCTGTAGGAGAAGCAGTGGGATGCGTGCACAGTGATTAAGGAGGAATATGTGGGGGATGGACTTGGGAAGACAGGTGGTAGTAGCAAGTTTGGCCTTCGTTCTTAGTGCAAGGACAGTTTTGAGCAAATAGAGACATGATCTGTTTTACTTTGTGGCAGCATCCCTCTGGAATGAACTTCCGGTGGAAGCAGGGAAGGTGGAAGCAGGGAAGTCAGAAAGATTTTGCATTATCTAGACAAGGAATATTGGTGCTTAGATGAACTAGACCGATGTGCAAAGATCTATTACTATGTGGAAAATAAGCAACAATGTAGGACGTGGCACACAGGAGACTGTTTTGAAGCACACACACATCCAGGTGTACGGAGGCATTTTCCCCTGAATGGCTCCACATGAAAAAGTTAAGAGTGGTTAACTTCAAGGAGAAGGGGATCAGGGAGGGTCATTTTTTACATTTCTTCATATTGTGCATTTTTCACATACACAAAGCATTACTTTTATTTATATAATATTTTAAAACAGAAGATAAATGATCGGTTATCAACATCACAGAGAGGAAGCACACCTCTCACAACCTTTTCTAAACATCCTCCCCTGAAGTTACTGGAGAGCCAGGCTAACAAAGTGGGGTGAGCTCCCATGCTTGGGAGACAGTGAGGTCAGGGAAAGACACCTTCCCAACTGGGAACAACTGCCCCCATTTCTGTCCCGCAGCTATGGTGACATTTGTGGTTGTCAGGTCTCCCTGGGCAACTAATACAATTTCCCCTGAACATCTACTGCATCTCCCTAAGCTCAGCTTGTCCAATAGTCCCCTCTGTCATCTTGGCAGCTGGTCCAGCATGAGACTAGCAGGCCCATCATTTAACTGCATGATTGAGCACAAACAGAAACAAATAGTTTTCTGGGGAGAGAGAGTAACATGCAGCTTCTGATTTCTCCTGTCAGCTGATTAGGATTTGTTGTGTCCAAACAAGGTCAAATGAGATTAGAAAGAAAATGCAGTGTGCCTGGTGTGTGTTTCACATAACTGCATCACTTAAGTAAACAGGATGAAGGAAGGGGAAATTTTCAAGCAAATATTGAATGTCAGCCTTAAGATTCAAGGACAAGAAGCCAGGGCTTCTATGTTATGCTGGGAGAGAAAAATTGTCCTAATTGGGGACATTCTGAATGAACCCTGCTGATGCAATCATCCTCGGGTTCTTCTTTCATGCTGGTGTAGTTAAAAAGTAATAGTTTTATGTGTGAGCACAGAATAAGTAAAACCTTGAGATACCACTTTCAACCTTTATCGCCTTTCTAAAACTCTAAGAGGCTGAGAGCCATTTTCTGCAGGAGCAACCACAAAGTGCCAAGGAGTGAGTCCAGCTCCTAGGTCTCAGAAGGAAAAATCTTCCTCCAGGAGCAGCTACATTTTAGCTACATTTAGTCACATCAGTAACTCTGGCCCTGGCTTCACCTCTGTGGATAAGCTGACCAGGTATCTACTAGGATTTCTGTCCTCCAAATCTGCCATTTTCTTCCTTTCTCAGATCCACCCCTCTGCAGTGCTAGTAAGCCACACAGATGGTTTTTACACCACAAGAATGGCTTTCAAAATGGTCTAAGGGCTCTGAGGGAAGTTAGGGTTTCTGTTACATCCTCTAGATGGGGTCCAGTGTATTGTGGATGCTTAATAAGAGGCTTCGACAGCTATTATTTCCACGGACTACTTCCTGGCCCAGTGCTGAAGGGCTATTCTAAGGGCAGACTTTTAGACGAGGCAACGTCTACGTCGCCTCCCACGCTAAATGACGGTGGGGTCAAAAGGCATGAACATTATCATGCCTCATGACTCAAAACATTTGTATGGATATAATTTAAAAGACAAATCTAAATACCTACACGGAAGTTGAAATAAATAGGGAATTTGAGGGCTGTTAAGGTGAAATCTAAAAACATTTCAAGGTGGGGTGGGGAGTTGTATTACAAAAAATATCTTGAGAAACTGAGGATTCATTATTTCCCAGTACTTGAACAGTACATTACCAAACACCCGAATAAGTACTAAAGAAATCAGTTTATATCAGCAGCTAGGGATTGTATTTGTTAAGAGCTGTGTATGTGCTTGTGTTTTTTAAAACAGCATTTCACAACTAGTTATAATGGAGAAATAAAAATAATGACCTGCATTTGCACTGACAGTTTTCAAGGTGCCTTCACACACTTTGACATATTTGATGATGATGATAACCCCAACAGCTTGCAAGGAAGATGTGGTTAGGAAAGCCTCATTTAGCTCCTTCAGGAGAGGGGGATCAGGAGCCAGAGGAGCTGACTTGCCCAGGAATGCCTGACAACACAGTGGGCAGGTTAAAGTGTGCTCACCTGAGGCAGGAGACCTGTCTTGAGTCACAAGTAGGTACTTTAACTAGGGGTGCAACCTGGGTGGGGCTTTGAGCCACATCACTGTCCTGAGGAGTTAGGATGTTTCCTAACTTTAAAAACTATCATTTCGTGTGGTTAAAATGAATAATATGCATACTCTATGTAGCACAATTATTTTCCAAGATTTAGAAGTAAGCTGTTCATAATATTTTTATCTTTTTGTGATAGAAGGCCCTTTGGATACTCAGGAAGATGATTAGTTTTTAAAGCAAATTATCGCTATCTTTTGAATACTTAGAAGTGGTAGTTCATGGAGATTCCAATTAATATAATTAGGAGAAATCAACTTTTTTGAATTTTGGAGCGCCTTTTAGGAGAACTGCCACTCTGAGACCTTCAGAAGGCTCCCTGAGGGACCCTGGGTGTGGGGGGCGGGGGTCACTGGGGAGAATGGCTCCCCTGGGGGCTCCATGATGACTTTGGAGAACAAGCTCCACCTCTACCTTCCCAAGGGAGGGAGAGACCAGAAAACATTTCTAGTTCTGACAGGTCATTCTCTACTCTATCTGAATCATGAGGTGGGTGGGCCTGTGCACGCACACACACACTCACTCACTCACACTCCCAGGCACAAATGCCTGCCTAAGGAGGAGGGACGATTCATCAATTATAGGAAACTATTAATCATGTTTCTATTTGCTCTTCTCAGAGACACCTCCTGATCTGCATCCTTTCAGTCCAGCTTCATTTCCCACCTTCTAGCCAAAGAGTTATTTGTACAGGCAGCTTCCTCCCTTCCTTAACCCATCCTGGCAATGGCATCAAGATGCAGCCATTAAAAAGAACCCCTTCCCTGAAACTGTACTCACCTGAGGGGTTACCTAATTCCACAGGGACAGGTTTGACCACTGGTGAGAAACCGCAGAAATATTCTCTCAGCAGCCCCTCCCCAGACCGAACCTGGAGGGCTGTTGCCTTGACCGGCTTTGCAAAATGCCCTTTGCAAGGCTTGGCTCTGGGAATGGCACAGACAGACACATACACACACTCTGCCACACACAGACACCCTGTACAAGTATGCCAGATGACAGAACAGAAAAGGACTCCCTTTCATCCAGCAGCCTTCTGATTCCAGAGGAGCCACAACCTGCTGTTTCCCCGGTGACTGAGGTCTCAAAATAAACAGGATTCCACTCAGACGGGCCAGTAGTCCATTCGACTCAGCCATTTGCCCCAAGACAAACCACGCTAAAATAACACCCAGGATAGTTGCCACTGCTGTCTGCTGTCTCTGCCTCCTTCCCTACCGGCCAATAGCTGTGTTCCTGGACCTAACGCTGGCTATGCAGAGCTGGGGGTACTTAGAGCCCTGTGTACATCCCAGTCGGTAGGGTCTGTACGGGTAGCTGTTAAAGGGCAGGTGCCTTCTGCTGACAAACAAGGCCAGTGCAAGACTAAGAGGCTGACATTCTCAGCCCCCAGCCTGCCTCCCTGCTTCCCACACAGCCCTGAGGGACTGGTAGCCGGCTCAGTGGCACAGAGTCTGGAGGCGGACCAGCAACCTGATGTGCATGCCACGGCCCGTCCCCTCTCCCCACACAGAGCTGCAGGACTTGTGAGGTTCAGAGCCAGCTTGGGGCTGCTGGGAAAGCAGCTGCAGTGTGGTGACAGTGACAAACGCACAGCAGAGCACTCCGAGTGGATACCCTTTCCCCTCACACAACCAGAAAGACGCAGCCCTCAGCCTACAAGCTTCTTCAGGTAAGAATCAGGGAGTCTGTCCTAGGGAACAGAAAGCATGTTATATTCAGTACTGGGGGAGTGGAGTAGTAATGGTGGGGGTGGGGGTGGTGATATGTGTCTATCCAAGTGCAAGTATAAGGCTACTTAGAGAGGAAAACAATTGGGGAAAGTTAAGGCAGTAAAATGTTTTAAGCAGATAATAATGGAACCTGCTCTCTTGCAAGTGAGCAACAGAAGCTCACCCCTGCCTGAGCTAAAGCTGCGCGGCCACAGACTGCCCTGGGGGGAGGGTTTGTTAGTGACACAGGCATGTAAAAGTCACACCTGGGCCTTAGAGATTGTACAAATAATCATGCACTACTACCCCTTATCTTCACTGCCCCATTGCCAGGCTGCTGAGAACTGGAGGGGGCGGGACATTCTCATTCCCAATGTACAAGTATGCAGACTTTGCAGTTTGACAGAAGCCAAAAGCTATGGCCTTGGTGACCCTGGCAGGCAGTATCCTGCTGTGTCACACTCACCCACCTGGGTAGCCAGGAAATCCAGCAGCCTCCAAAGACCTGTTTGCTGGGTGGGCACTTTAGATTTATCAACCATTGATGGAGGACTTTTGGAGTGGGATCAATAAGGTGGTATTCCTACAGCCCCATTGATTGCCAGCATGATCTATCTTGCCTTCTGGTCTTTGAAAATTACATCATCATTCCAGGACCCCTCCAGGTAAGTACCAGCAGAGGATTAGTGGGAATGGCTAGCCACTGGGCACATTCTCTGGCACTTCTGCTAGCCACACCCACATCACCATTCCATGCCTAAAGTATGCCAGGCTTCTAGAAGGAGCATTTGAAAAACTCAGGCCTCCAGATGCTGGAGTGAAAATTCCAGGCATTTAATCAAGTACCCATTTTTCAGAGACCCAAGAGAAAGCCACCTTATCTCACCTCTCAGGTTCAGCAGAACACAAACACGGTATTTTCTCCAACTATTTAAATCCACCCCCATTTTCTGCCTTCTTTCTGCTCTGGTGACCAGCACTTTCCCTTTCATTCAGTACAGGGATGCAATTGTTTGTGATTTTGCTCTGCAAACACCAGTGGGAGGACGCTCACGAGCATCCTGGCACAGTGCGAGCCAAGGGCTACAAAGAAATAGGCTTGGTTTTTGCAAAGTGCTGCCCTGCGAAGTGCCGGCCAGCTGTTTACTGGGCCTGTTTACTGGGCTGTGAATGAGTGCAGATTTTGGTGAGGTCTGTGATTCACAGTCACAAATTCCCTCTTCCTTTGTTTTTTTTTTTCTGTGTTGGTTCCTGAGGGTTTCTGAGGAAATTCCCTGGGCAAAGTTGTATATCTGAGGGCAAGATGACCAAATCTGCTGCTGAGAGCAGCTGGCAGATGCAGACACTCTCCTACTGACCCTGCCTTTTTAAGGATGAATCCATGGCTTTGCACATGGAGTGCTTAGTCAAAAGCAAAGCTAATTCACCTAACACTCAGTTTCTTACAAAGCTCTCCACCACCATGCCCAAGTTGGGAGTGCCCATATATATGGCTTCCATAAGCAGCTTTCTGTTTCCAAGAAGGCTATAAGGAAGCAGTGACAAGTTCACTAAGTGATTTGGCTTTATAGGCCATAGCACCAACAATGCTGTTTCCATGGTGACAGTAAATGGACATCCATGTGCTCCACCAGCACCTGGCAAAGGAATGTCTGATACCAGGACAGAGTGGATTTGCTCACTCTGTTGACAGGCACTCTGGGGACCTTGACTAAACTGTTAAGGATTGTGGAGCTACTGGTCCTGCTGTTGTTAGTTCCCATGAACCAAGATCACACTGAGTGAAAGGCACAACTCCCATCACACCAAAGAGGTGTTGCTTGGCAAATGCAACACACCTTGACTAAGACTACTGGAAAAATGATCTGTAGTGATCTGTGCCACAGACATACCATTGACAAGTACTAGGGAAATCCTTATGCAGGACACATAAGTTGTAGGTGAGTATTTTTCCTTTCGTATAGATTCATTAATTAACACATGTTCATGCAGTACTGACAAGGTGTCCTTTCTTGGGATGTGACTGGATCCAGCCAGCTCAACCACAGAGAAGGGAGGGGACCAGCCTGGGTGGGGAGGTCACAGAGAATGGGCCTAGGCTTGCAAGGATGTCCAACTCAACATAGAGAAAGGCACCCAAGGTATAGGAACAAGCATCTGGGCCAAAGAGAGGAAAGGGAAGGGATAGGCATTATTTTGATTCCTAAAATTCACTACTTAAGTGAATTTAAGACAGTATAACATACTGGCTAAGTGCACAGATTCTGCAGTCAGGCAGAATCTGGGGTTTGAATTTAGACTCTGCTACTCATTAGTCCTGTGACCTTGTGCCTCAGTGTCCTCATCTATAAAATGAGGCAACCAACCTTGTTACTGAAAGGATCAAAGGAGTAACACTTTTAGCACAGTGCCTGGTGTTTAGTGAATACTATGTAAAATTTACTGCTATTATTACTATTATTATTATTGAAAGGTGAGTTCTGAAAAGGCTATCTGAGTCCATTTCTCCAAAGTTTAGAGGCACTCTAAGAGTGACCCTCAGTGCCACCCTTTGGGCAGCATGGAGGTTCTTTTGCACTGGCATTGGGTTCTGCTTGTATCTGAGTCTTCAGAAATAGAAGAGCTTCGATGTCAGTCCCCAGTGTTTCTTGAGCCCTTATGTATGCCAGGTACTTGTTTGACTTTACATGTATGACCTTGCTGAACTCTCATAATCACCCTGTGAAATGGGGGCTACCCTAGTTGTACTAATTGAGGTTCGGGTGGGTCAGGTGGTTTGTGAAGGTCACATAGTTGCCAAGTGGCAGAGCCAAGCTTCACAGTCAGACTGTGCTCCTAACTAATATGCTGAATATTGGGGGATGGGGGGGAATTGTGACACTGGGGGTGTCCTAAGGGGCAGGTAGAATTTGGTGACAGGAATTCAGCAATAAGTGGTATCTGAAGACCCTAAAAGCTAGGCTGTGGTATGAAAACACTTTTTGGACCCATGGCCTTTGGGAACAAGTACAGGCACTGGGGACAAGGTGAGTCCCAGGTTTTCCTGAGCCAAGAAAAGAGGAAATGGCCCTTACAATAAGGACAGAGGCACAGGGAGGGTATTGGGCCTGAATCCTTATATCCCTTAGGCCTTAAGCTTAAGGTCAGAGCATCTTGAGCTGAGCCAAGATGCGTCAAGACTGGTGCCTCCAATCATGGATAGGAGGAATGACGATGCAAAATTTAGTGTCTGGGTATAGTGATGTTTACAATGATGTAAAACTTATTTGCCAAATGCAATATCTCTAAATGGCATATTTAAAACTTAGAGAGATTTGTTTTATGCAAATCTTTGGGACTTTGTCCCAGAATTGCTGGTGATAGGAACAGGTGTGGAGAAGAGAGGGAGAAGGGGGGTTACTGTGCACCAGGGCTGTGCAGATGTGGGGGTTACTGATGGACAAGTCATCTCTCTGCCCCTCCAGCACCTGGGGTCTTGTCCGGGGATATTCAAACTTTAAATAATGTACATAAGAACCACAGAACTTGTTAAAAAATCAAGTTCCTTGATCCTACCCACAGTGGTCCTACTTTAGTAGGGTTTCAGGGACCCAGGAATCTCCATTTCCTGAGTGGGGCCTAGGTGATTCTGCTGCCTCTGACCGCCCCCCCTCCCCCACAGTGAAGAAGCCTCCAGAACTGTGAGACACAGCATTTCTGTTGTTCAAACCTTCCTATCCGTGCTACTTCTAATGGCAGTGCTAGAAAACTATTAGAGCAGGCACCAGATTCCTAGTGCCCCTCGAGGCTCTGTGTGTGATCTTGCTGAAGGTCAACACATTACACCAAGTATGGCAACTTTTCCTTTTCTTTAATTCTGAGAGATTTCCTGTTGGCTCAAACAGTGTTCATGATAGTTCATAGGGAGGCCTAAGGCCCAGAAAATAAAAAGGAATGAATGAAAGGATGAAGAGGGAAGAAAGAAAACTAGGGAAAGAAAAAGAAGAGAGTGGGGACCAGGAGGGGTATGCGTGAGGGTGATGTCTGACCACTTCAGACTTAATTAGTTCATCCCTGGGTGCCAAGGAGCACGCCAAACACAGAAGCCACAACAGAACCTGGAGCTAGCAGACCCTACACTCATAAAAGCTAGGAGGCTCATGGCAAAGGGACCAACCCAGTAGGGGTTTGAAAAGCTCAGGGGAAGGCTGGCACTTGGGTTATGACCTGGAGGATCTTCAGGCATCAACTTGGTGAGGGTTGAGCATATATGATGGAGGAAGGAACATGTCACACAGTGTGAGGAATCACGGTGTCACCAACAGCAGAGGGAAGGCCAATGTGGCTGGATACAGGGGAAAAGGAAGGGGGACACATAAGACCGAAGAGCAGGCAGGGGCCAAACATGAGGGCCATGTTGAGGATTTAGGTCCTTAAACTGAGAGCTATAGAGAACAAGAGAAGAAGGTGAGTCTATAAAGGGCAAACTCTCATAGCAACAAAGGAAATCTGGGACAGAGAGGGTGAAGGCACTGTTCAGCAAAGGCTTATCCCTGAAGCAAGACCTCAGGTTTCTTGAGCTCACAAATCTCGAATTGGCTGCATTACTTTAAGGGAGTGAAGGTCCAGGCCACTCCCCAAATAGTGTCCTTGCTATGATCCTCTAAACAGAGCATGCTCTAGGTGGTTGTCATGGTCCCATTGGGAAGGGTGTGAATAGGGACAGCTCTGGGCCTCCCCTGGTGCCACAGCGGTTGAGCGCTGGGTTGCGAGGCTGCCCGCAGCCTCTGCAGCACCAGTTCGATCCCCAGCCACCGGCGAGGGTCCCACAAAAAAAAAAAAAAAAAATAGGGTCAGCCTTGTTCCGTTGGTGAGGCTAATTAATTAGCAAGCTTGTCAGCCAGGCCAAACTCAGACTAGGATGATCAGGCAGCCTTCTTTGGCATCATTTGAAGGAAACAGGCCTGGTGAATAACCTCTC